TTTATTCTTTAGTGTTTGTAATAAATTATTCAATTTGTTACGTTGTTCTTTATACTTTGCATCTATAGATTCAGAGGGTTATAAAAATAAGTGTGTATTATTAGAAGCTTCTTGCGGAGAATATTTTGAGGCAATGCACATGATGTATTCTGCAAATACTTATTTTTCTGATGTTTTCAGGTCTTCACAGATACCATGGGTCGTTATACAGGAAAAAAATGTCGTCTTTTGACAATGTTATGGCTGACAGCTTTATTTTTTTTAGTCGAAATTGTAGTTGGTTATGTCACCAACTCGATGGCTTTAATAGCAGATAGTTTTCATATGTTGTCAGACGTAGCCGCTTTAGTGGTAGCATTTCTTTCGGTGAAGGTAAATTCTGCAATTTGTTTTGAATTTTAGATCTCTTCTTTTTAGCTCAACTTCTTTGCACAGTTTATCTTTTTTCTTTTTCTCTCCATAAACGCGTTTATAAGTTTATATATACTTCACATTCAAGTATTCTTCGGGTATTATATTATTCTTGTTTACCATTCGGTAAACAACAAACATGTAAAATTATACTTGGGTGGCACTCAGATGAAAATATAAACATAGCGCAACACAAAAAGAAAAAGAGAAAAGACTAAAGCAGCTAAAGAATAGATCTATCGTTGAAAAATTTTATTGCTAATATTTTATTATATTTAATATTGTTGATTACTTACAAACAATTTTGGTGTTGTAGATGTCACCGAAGAAATGGTCTAAAAACACATTTGGCTGGGCCAGAGCTGAAGTATTAGGAGCTTTAGTGAACGCTGTGTTTTTGGTCGCTTTATGTTTTAGTATTACTGTAGAAGCATGTAAAAGATTTATCGAGGTAGAAGAGATACATGAAGCTAAACTGTTGGTCGCAGTTGGGGGACTTGGTTTGCTGGTGAATGTGATAGGTTTATGTTTATTCCATGGTGAGTATAGCGTGTATTATACAACTCAACTTATTTGTTTTCGATAAAATTTAAACTGTTTAAAGTGTATAAATAAATATGACATTTGTTTTTATATGTAGACATTTATTCTTGTTTTAAAGATTCTCTAAAGTTGTCCTGTTATTATATAGAAGTGTAAAATTATAAAATCATAAATATGCTTATATTAAATATTTGTATATTAATATTTAGAAGAATAAACTAATTCAGAAATTTCTATTTTCACTTTCTCTTTCTGTTAGATAATATTTGTAAAGCATTTTATTTGTATTTCATACCTTAATTATCATCTTTCGTATCTAACTATATGATATTGTAACTTAATTATGATTATGGATAACAGTATTGTATATTCAAATTGCTGTTTGCTTATAAAATTCTTTGTTCAATACTATCGTGATGTAATCTTATTATTAGTGCTCGACAGATTTTATTTTGAGTTAAGATAAAGAAAAATTGATTATGAAATGTACATGGTTAGAGCAAATGTATTATCGCAGCAAGATTTAAAATACAAAGCTTTTGCAAATATAAGACAGAAATAAAATTTTTGTAAAATTAATGGATCTGTATCTCGAGATTGCAAAGAGAGAAAAATGTCCGAGCTATAATATAAATGTTAAAAATTCGTCAAGGAAGAAAAGTATCAATATCTGTTATCTTATTGATGTCAAATTGTAACCGAGTATTTAAAAAACATTTAATTTCAAAAAATGAATGTTAATGATAAAAGGGAAAATTTATTATTTTATTGCATTTTATGAAACTCTGAATAATTTCTCATATTTAATGTATTTTATAACATATTTGAAAAACAATTAATATTTCTTAGATTAAATTTAATTTAATTAATCGATTTTTTCGTTATATATCTTGTAAGATAAAAGTAATCTATTTTATATCAATAAATACTTATAAGTGCAATTATTGCAGAACATGGAAGTGCTCATGGTCACTCGCATGGTATATCTCGAAGTCATAATAGATTAAGCACTTTGGTAGGCACAGATGATAATGAAAATGACGAAGCTTATAGACCTTCGACACCCCAAGTAAAACGAGCGCATGGCCATTCGCATGATGCAAGTCAGATGAATATGCGAGGGGTATTTCTTCATGTACTTTCTGATGCGTTGGGGTCTGTCATTGTAATTGTGTCTGCTCTAATTGTATGGCTAACGAATTGGAAGTATAGGTAATTATATACTACATATTCCTATACATTCTATATAGATACTGAAGAATTTTATAGCATATAATTAAAAAAATTTTTTTACATAGATTCTACATTGATCCTGCACTGTCGCTTTTATTAGTCATTCTTATTCTGCGTTCAGTGTGGCCGTTACTTCAAGAATCAGCTTTAATTCTATTGCAGACTGTGCCAACACACATTCAGGTAATATTTGTTGGCTTGTATAATGCAATAACAAGATTTTTAAAGTGCATGATACATATTTATGATACACATTATTTGATTTGTAAATTTATTTGTACAGGTCGATGCTATACAGCAACGTTTGTTGGAGAACATAGATGGCGTATTAGCTGTACACGAGTTCCATGTGTGGCAATTGGCGGGTGATCGTATTATAGCTAGTGCGCATATAAGATGTAGAAATCTTTCAGAATATATGAAAATTGCTGAACAAGTTAAGGAATTTTTCCATAACGAGGGTATACACTCGACGACTATTCAACCAGAATTTATTGACGTAAGTAAATACACATATATAATATATAGTAGTATTATAAAAAAAATCTGTTCACGTACATACGCCAAACAAAACAGAATTAGACAGAAAAATTTGTGTAAAAAATTTAGGTAAAAAAATGCACGCAATTTGTTATTCCGAGCAATATATTTTTAATGCGTTTTTTATCTATCGTTTGTAAATTATAATTAAAAAGTTTATCTGTGAGTCACATGTATGTTTAATACGAAGTTAACGATCTTTTGTTCAAAGTTAATGATGCGTAAGATGAATGTTCACCAAACTATTCGCGACTCAGATAAATGACGTTTCAATCACGATTTATGATTGATTCTAATTGAATTATTTTTGTTGTTAGATATTTTTATTAAAAATATTTTTTATTATTCTAGTATCATTCTAATAGTGAAATTAAAGAGACTCCCACGGAAGATTGCGTGTTGGATTGTCCAAAGACTGATAAGCCATGTAATCACGCGACGTGCTGTGGTCCTTCCAAACAAGTAAGTACCGTATCATAAATTTCGTGTTCTTGCATCATTCATCATTCATATATTCTTCGGTTTCTTAGTATAATATAGAAAGAAATATAAATGCTCCAAGTGCTGCGTATCCCAATTCAAAGTATCTCGGACAAAACTTAGATGGAATAAAACAAGAATCAAATACGACTATAGATCGCGATAGTTCGTCTACTACATCTGGAAACCTAAATTTTGTACTTCATCCATTTGAAAGTACAGTTATATTTGTGAAAGAAAAAAAGCATTTTGTATGCTTCTAATTGAAGCATACAAACTTGCTTTAATTGTTTGAAAAGTTAAGTAGTAAGTTAAGTAGTATGTTTTGCATTTAATTCACATTATTTATCTAAATTTAAATTCAAAAGAGATTCAGATTATAGTAAGATTGATACAATCATCAACGATACGAAATCAAAATTGTAGGTAAACATCTATCTTTACATTTGTGTTTGATTAACAAGTTCAAAAGAGAATCGTTAATACGTATTTATTAATACACGTTGTGACAAACGTCTCTTGTAAATCGTAAAAATTAATTTCTTTCACGTTTTGTTTTTGTCCATTAGCCTTACTGATAAGATTTGTAAGGATTTATATAGACAATAACTTACATAATACAGGGTCGTGAGACTCCGTCACCTGGAGAAACACCGTACATGTGCAGACAGCGTAATAGCTTGGCACGTTCGACAGGCTCTATAGGAGGAACAGAGCAACAAGAAGTGAATGAAATGGAACGCGGACACTTGTTATCACTGCCCGCTTCGCATCCAACATCGTTTCACTCCGTCCAAGTTCCCCACACTCACGTTAATGCACCAACTGTCTGAACTCTCATTGCATTATCAAATATATCTACCTCCATAGTAAAATACGCGAGATGCGTCATGATTTATTGTACAAATATACAATAAATATCTATCTACATAAAATTCATTAATATCACGGTTGATGGCAGTGGTTGAATGACATACAGCAATTGCTTATAATTGATAAATTAATACATTCGTGAAATCTTATAAATTAAAATTTATTAACAAATTTTTCCTCTTTTCTGAAATAGTTTGGCGAATATCGAAATCTGTCAGTTTTCATCTTTGCCATCAATTTACTTAGAGTAAATGATTAAGATATATGATAAAAAATTAAAACCCAAAGGCATGTTAATACCAAATATATTACGTTATATGATGCTCTATACGCTCTATATGCTCGGATATAAATAATAAAATTTCGAATTTTTACTATAAATTTCTTAGAAAAAAATTTCAAAATTAGAAGATTTTACGACTGATGCATAATTTATCGTATAAAATATGTAATTTAAGTTAAGTATTTTTTAAATCTCATTTGTATATTGATTTGACAGTGCGGTTTTATAAAAATCCTGCTTTATGAAACTCTTTATTTATATGTAATTTTCATTGATTGTAATACGTAATTTATAAGATAGGACGCAAATTTATAAGCAAGAGTACCAAATCTCTTCGTTATGTTTATGTATTCTTTCCTCCATATACAATAATTCTTAAATATTAAGTCTGTATATTTTTTATGTATTTCTTATAGATTTAAGCAATTATAAAAGAAAATTACCAGACGTGTATTAATTTTTTTTCCCTGTATAATACTTGTACGATACCTGCGAGAAGTGCTGTGATAATTATTTTGACAGATATTTTATATTGATATATATTAATAATTTATTTCAATTTTTTTTATCAAATTTAATTTGATGTGACAAATATTACATATAGTTTTATTTAATTTTTTAAGATGCTATATGCTGTATATTTTCAGGAGTTGCGTCATTGTTGTATAATCCAGTTATAGAAATAGGATACATCAGTGTATACACCAGGAACTCCTGCATCTGCACAACCTATTCCCCATGACACCAGTCCAACAACTTGATACTGACCGGTACTTGTTGGACACACTAATGGTGAACCACCATCGCCCTTTAAAGAAAATTCATAGTGATATTGTTAGAATTAATGAATACGTTAAATTATTGAAAAATAACTTCGTGATCCGGATTGCTATGCAATATTCATTACTTTGCAAGAGACAATATGTCATATTTCTTACAATGCATGCGTCTTTGTCCTTTTCCCCTCCAGCGCACATGAAACTGTTGTGCAGATTAAAGTTTACTCCTAGTCTGGTCTGTTGAAGGAGCGCTTGGCAATTCTTCTTTTCCACTACAGACAAATCTACCTCTTTTAGCTTACTTTGCAACCGTCCGTTATTAAAGGCATTTTGCCCCCAGCCTGTCGTCCAACACCTTTAAAATATTGAAAATGAAATTATTAGATAATCGTGACGTATTTATTATAAAATTATATATGGAAGGACATTTCGGTATTTAACAAAACGATATAATACAAAAATTAATATATTTGCAATACAAAATAGAAAGTAGATCACTATGCATTTTGTTGATAGAAGAGAATTCAAATGTAGACGGAATTGAAAGTAATTTTAGACCGAATATATCCATTATACGTACTTTGTTCCCGGTGAAACTGATGTAGAACTCAAACATGCCGTATTAATGTTACCATTACTTGCAATAGGAGCAGGCGAATTTAGTCTAAGCACTGCTATATCGTTCTGGAGATTTTGCGAATTAAAAGCAGGCATTATGGAAATTTTTGAGACGACGATATCTGCAGTCGGCTCATTTTCTGTTGCAAAACTCCACTCACCTAATCTCGCTATAATCTCACCATTACTGTAACACATTTTTAATATACATACATGAAGAATAAGCTATCAAAAATCTATATCATATTATAGTTTTAGAAATTATTCTCTTTGAAGGTTTATAAAAAGATATTGTAAAATCTGATTGCATCAATGTTATTTTAATTTTAAGCGAGGCTTAAAATCTCACTTTCTCTCTTTAAAGTCGAAAGAGAGGAAGAGAGTTTCAAGCCTCACTTAAAGTCAAAGTAATGTTAGTGTAACCAGATCTAAAAGGCATTCTTCAAAAATTCAATTTTATAATTTAATATTAAATTTTTAACTTACTCATACCCTACCACCTTATGAGCGGCGGTAAGAACACGTGTTGGATTGATAAGCACTCCTCCTCCGACATAATTACCTTGGATGTCTAAAATGGCTACCATCCAAGGATATGCACCGTAAGCGGCAAATCCTGATGTCGATTGCGAATTTATTCTTCGAACACCACAAGGAATACTGTCATCGTCGTCATCGTCGTCATCGTCGTCATCATCGATTATACAGCAATATACACGTCCAGTAGGACAATTTGTGTCCTATAAAAATATAAAACTATAGTTAATATAATAATATATTGATATACTATACAATGATCGTTAGATATATTTATATAAAAATAGTAATAATTTACTTTTTTCATACAAAGTTTATACATATAGAATAAATAATTCTAATTTGTCTACAAATATATGTAAATATTTCAAATAAGTTCTATCACTATAGTATTTTTTTCAGTGTGAACTGAAATATATTACCGGAGTCACTACTCTGATATCAATGCCACCAACAGTGCCTTCGGGACAAATTGTTCCAACAAGGCAGCCACATTCGTTTATAAAAAAATAATAAAATTAGGAAACATTAGTACAGTAATTTAGGAATTATATACATTATAAATTAAGAAATCTATTTTTCTATTTACAAATTCTTTCATATCATTTAAATAACTGTAAATCTTTCAGATATATTATTAATATTTTTCGCAATTAATAATTTTTTCATTATTCGTTATTTTTTATTTTTTATTATTTAAATTTTGTAACTTATCATTAATATTTTACATTTTTCAAGTTTTATATAGCAACAACATCGCTTATTTATTACAATCTAACTAAAAAAATTGTTATTTTTTTAGTTGCTTACAGAAAAAGATTAAAAACACGTACAAAGGAAAAAAACACACTTTTATTCCTTTATAATCACTTATTTCATTAAAATTACATTTCAAAGTCATTACAAAAATTTTAATGTTTTGAAACACACACACACTCAGATTCATTTTCTTGATCTTATTAATAGTGTCGTTGTTGTAACAAAAAAGTATTCAAGAAAATACATACTCTGTGCAAAAACAAACGTTTGCTGCAATAGCTGGCATGACAGTACGAACAGCAAGATGTTATTCATCTTGAAAATCAGAGATCAAAGAGAGAATAAATTAAAACATAGTATATACTCTTGTCAACGAAACTGATTCACAACAAATAAAACACAAAATTCAACTTACGATTTATATATGTGTACATATATACACACAAATGTATCAGCGCTTTGCGAGAAGCGGTACATTTCCGTTTTTCATAAGTTTCAATGGAACATATTAACTTGTGCATCCAGCTGGACGAGATATAATACATGACCTTTCATGGCGCGCTAGAAACGACACTCGGTAGGCTTTCAGAACTATCGCGTGTAAAATATCTGGTGCTACGTGAAAAAAAAATAGACAAGCAAATTGTTTCCGATCATAATTACGTATAATAATCCATAGCACGTGTGCATTAGTAATGATGCTCAGCGGTCTTCCCAGAGGATTAAAACATTTATTTGACGCGGAGAGAAGGTCATCCCAATTTCATTAACAATTAAACAATGAAGGTCAATAAATAGGAGTTACTGGTATGAGCAGAATCACGCATCGCTGATCTCATTCAATATTATGTATTAAAATACATTGTTGTAAGAAAATATTGTACCACAAACGGTGATATAACAATTCCTATCTGATATTTACAATAAAAGGATTGTTACATGAGCGATGGATGTTATAACAGAATCATTGTGAGTCATAAAAAACTGATATATAGTCTGTTTTAGCATTAAAATTTAAGCTGAATTTATTAAACCGTTTAGTCTTTAAAAAAATTCAGCTTGATAAAAACAAAAAAACATACATTAAAGTCATTTCAATCGTGTGATAAAATTATTCAAATCGTGTAGAATTATAATAGGAATCGGAAAAATTCGTCGAAATACTTGAGGAATATAGCCGTCCTCTTTTCCATTTCACGCTTACGTGTTAGAATTTTAATCAGAACGCTAATAAATTAATCAGAGCGAATTAATGATTTTTGAAGGAAAAAAATGATTTTTTTCTATATGATTTTCATATAATTTATTTTTATAAATTAATGAAATAAAATATATTGAACAATCATAAATACCATCGCTTAGATCCATCCCGGAACAGTATATAATAATAGAGAAAAATACAAAAATAACATAAGTCTCTTTCTTGATAATCTTCCAATAGTAAATTAGTATGCTTAGATTATGCTGCTTTCGTATTTATGAAGAATTTAACTTATGCATTTTTTGTAGCGAGCTTATCAGTAAGTTAGCGCGACCACATGTAAAAATATGTACTTTGCATATATGGTAAATTCTTTTTAACGGCACTTGTCAAATACTTGGCAAGAGGCACGGAATTAGATATTGTATCAAGCAGTGCATCTATCTTATTACGGCTGTGCTTGTCATAAAACGGCGATCTTAAAATGTATAACAGTAAACTCAATCTTCGACGCACGAGCTCTTCTTCCTCCTCCTTACTTAATAATGCTTTTTGAGCGCAACGATTGAAGACATTTAAACTGCACAAACAATAATAATTTGATTAAAATATTATAATTTATCAATTATGTATAATAGTTCAATATGTACCTGGCTATATCGATAATAAGTGATAATATCCACGGTGGCCAATGGTTTTGATTAGTAATGTACATACATCCTAGATGAAGCAATGGCTTTGTCACATAAAGACTCTAGAAATTAAATATTTTGTTACCTGTGTGTTTTTTTTACATTAGTATATTATAGGCGAAATCCGCATGATATGCAATGCCAGCATTGCCTGAGTAATGTCAGCATTGCACAATGCAATTGGGTTGTGCAATGCTGACATGCCTGAGCAATGCTGACATTATATAGCAACTTCACCCATGACATATATTTTGAAAATTCCATATAAATTGAGATACTTTTTTTATTATATTAAACTTATCATTAATCACATGACAATACTATATTTTTTAACTGACCTCAGCTAACTTAAGATTCCTGTTAGATTCCTGGTTTTTAGTTAGATTCTCGTTCTCATCTGTGACAGAAGGCAAAGCTTTCCACGTTCGTAATTCTATAGGAGTCGAATACTTTACACTTCTAACAACAGTGCCTGATCTTTTCAGCATAAAGCCTTCCTTCAATTGCACATTGTCGATTTTATTGAATTTCTCTCTGTTAAGAGGCGGTGTTGCTGGGCTTTTCGTTACTCGTTCCTTATATACATAAATTAATAGCAGTCGCAATATAGACCTAGGAAAAATAAATGTTGATCAACAAGGAGACTTGATAAATTTTGTCTGCATTATACTGGATTAACACATTAAAGGCTGGTTTATATAAAATATCGAAATGTAGAGGTATAATGTATTAATTTTGATAATAAAATAATATTAGTGAATAATGCAAATTCTGTTAAATAATATGACAATATCATTATTGGATACTTAATTTTTTTAATATTTATATGTTTTTACATTTAACTTTACTAATTTCATGACAGCTCAATTTTAATATGGAATATTATAAGATCTGTTTTCTAGAATTGAATTAATATACACTCTTGGAACTCAAAATAAAATATATGTAATTTGATATTTGGCTAAAGTGAGAAAATAGTTTTAGTGCAGTCTAGTGTCTAGTACAGAAAAAAAAAACAAATCCAGTTCCATCAATATAAGATTAAGGGTCAGTTGTTCCACTTTTCGGTAAATTTTAAACCATTAGGTAAATCTGGCAATATACACGTGATTGGATAATTTTGTTACTTACCTAATGAGTAAAATTTACCGAAAGGTAGAACAATTAACTAGTCCTACAAGGATAAAGTTTAATTTCGGTTTAACTTGCTGTTTATCTTTTTTTAATACCTAGAATTAGAAAAAGATCAAGAATAAATTAAATTAAGATTAAAGTTAATTTTACATTGATGGAATCAGACTTTGCATATTTCTATTAATTTAGATTAACTTTAATCTTGGTTTAACTTTGTATCTTTTTTCAGTTTTAAGAATAAAAAAAAAGATAAAGACTGGTATTCATAGTCAGATCTTATATGATATATTCAAGACTGTTTTAAGTACAATTTTAAGAAGTCACAAATCAATTAGAGAGCCGCATTAGCAACTTAAGACATTACTTAAGACGGTCTTAAAATAAGAACAGACTATGAATGTCAAAGAGTAAGTAAAATAAGATTTAAATTTGTCAGTAGAAATGAACGTAACTGTAATATAATATAAGTGATTGAATTTGCTATCAATTTATCGGCAAAATGAAAGAATGGCCCAACTGTACTTACTTAAATAATTGTATAATTACGATTATTAGCCATTTTCCTTTTGGCCCCCATAACTTCTTAGCTGACACCTCGAGAAAGGTCTCAGTGTACTCCACTACAGTTAACCAAATTTTAATCTTCGAGTCAAACTGAGGTATTTTTAAGTGCTGGCGTTTGCTGCTGTACATAAGCAAATCGTTGCAAAGCACTATCAGATTTGGCATGGAATAAATCAATTCCACGGCCAAAGTCGAATTGCGCAATTGTCCTGCAAAGAACATACATTTTTACCGATGTATACGTGGTGGAACGTAACAATAAAATTCGACGACTCGTTTTCTAACCAAAACTGAAATACGACAAACATCTGACAGTAGCCTCGATATCTGTCAATAATTGCGGATTCGCTACAACCCAATTCTTGTACGATGTCAACAGGTTGTTTAATGTAAAATTAACACCGTTCGCCATCTCGTTGTTACGTTATTTTAAATTTTTTTTACAGCGAAAAATAGACATTAAATGTTTAATTCTGCTTATCTCATTATAAGAAAATAAATTATTGCGTTGAACACGGGTTATGCCATGTTTGATTCCGAAGGTCGAACTCAATTTCGATTTTAAATTCGATTTTCTTCGTCCAATGCGAACACTGGTTTTGAGCAAAATCGATTTCTATTTTGTAAAGGCTTATCCATAAATGGCCTAGTTTAATCCAGATCAGAATCAACTAACTATAGTCGAACATTCCCCTTCGACTGTAACAGGGGAATACTCGACTGCAGTTGGTTGGTACTTACATTCTGATCCGAATTATGCCAATGATTGCATTCAGCGAACTTATGCCCGTTTCCACCAATGTAGATTAACTTTAATGTCGGATCAATTTACTCTTCGTCTTTTTCTAGTTCTAAAGATTAGAAAAAGATGAAGAATAAAGAATCAGATTGCATTAAAGATTGAGGTTAAATATTGAAATTTCATCAATAAGGACAAAGAAATTTTGGCTTCTTTTGTTCTGATTGGTCAAACATCAATCTTTCAATCTTTAATCTCATTCTTCAATGTGTAGTCTGATTCCGGCCTAAGTTGAATCGAGATTAAAATTAATCTACGTTGGTGAAAATGGGCCTTAACAGTTGAGTGAGCGCTGACTGCTATTGATGTATTCTTCCAGATCTAAAATACTGATTGGATGATCTAAAAGAATATTCGCTAAACGCAGCCATTTAAAGAAACTAACCAATGAAATATTCAACGTAAAAAATTACTAAAAGGTGAAAAGAAAGAACCAAAGGACTGAAGGCGTCTTAAACTCCCTCTTTACTCGAAGGAAAAAATAAAATAAAACACTCGTTAATATGAAATTTGTTAAATCTCATTGAGATGTAACAATTATATATTCATTTATAAGATAAAATGAATACATATTTGGATATTGGAAACAGAGAGAGAGAGAGAGAGAGAGAGAGAAAGAAAATAAAGATTCTGAGTGCCAAAAGTGCAGAATAAACTTATCAATCTTGTAAATGGCACCGAATTGTCCACGTCGCCAATTGGTCAATTCTAACTTTTTGGTTAATTTAATAGGAAAAAAAACTACAAAATATTTAATACAATTAATTAAAAAATGACTATTAAATGAATGATTTCGTAAACTTTTTTATGGATTATTTTATTACTTGTATTTTATACGAAGATTTTTAAAATGCAATTAAAAAAGATGTTTTCGACAGAGTGATCGAATTAATTAATCAGTTATATCGGTTAACTTCATAGTATAAGAATAACTGAGATTAAGTTCAAATTAATTATATTTCAAAAATCTTAAATTCATACAAAATACAACTTATAAGAAAATAGTCTAAGAAATAATTCATTGTTGATTAATTTTATATGAATAAACTTGATATTACATTATTTATAAGTTTAAAAATATTTAATTTAAATTATCCAAATAATTATAAAATCCTTTCAATTATGTACTTTAAAACTCTTCATACACAAAATACAACTAATTTCAAAAACTCACTTTTTCTTATATCAATTAAAACTGCATAAAATATAATTATAATTAATTAAAATATTCTAGATGACTGGGTGTTAAATTTTTTAAATTATATATTTTTCCAAAATTCTCATTATTTACTTTTTAATTACATCTTAAAAGTCTCTATACAAAACGATTTCATAAATCGTTTAAGAATAAAAACAATTGTCGACGAAGTTCATATGAATACGATGAAATTCTATTTTCGGACGCGCAGCCCTGGCTTGAAGTCCCGACGGCATTGAACGACATCGTCGGCCAGTTGGCCGCCCTGGGCGATGTGATCGGCGGTGGTGCACAGCAACACAGTGGCCCGGTGACAGGGCGCGCGATGCGCGTGTATGTGTGCACTAGTATACATGCGTGTGATACGATGCGTCGAAAAGCGGTCATATAAATAAACAGGGAGCCTGCGAACGATCAGCACTCGCGGGGCCTGTCACGGTCTCGGTCGGTTGGACTTGACGGACGGTGCGGAGTAACATAGGCTGCTGCTGCGGTGTTGCTCCCTCCCCGACGACCCCGCGTCCCTTTGGTGTCCATCAACCGAAGATGTCATCGCCTACACAAGTGGTAAGAAGACGTGGTTGCGATAGACAGCGATAAGACAGTTTACGTCGATAGAGGCGAACGTTTCGTCACCCTCCTTCCGTAAACACTCGTTACTTTTATTTTATTTTATTATTATTTATTTTGTATTAAATTGAAATCGTCTCTTGCCGCTTTCGCCGCCGTTCGATTTAAATCGAAAGAAGCTGCTGCTGCTGCTGCTGTTCTTTGTTTTCCTCTTTTATGAATCATGTATTCATTATTCTATGCCCCTTTATTAGAACGCGAGCGGCATATTCGCGTAAAAATAGAATTTATTGAATTAATCCAATAAGTAATCATTCGCGTGGTGGTTGAAATTGAAAGATAAATATTCGATTTACATATACTTATAACGTCGTGATATGTACGTTAAAAGTGTATTATTGTATACGCGGAAAAATTAATCGGAGCATTGTTACACAGACAGCAGACTGTATTTTACGGAAAGAATTATTTTGAGAGAACTCTTCTAATTTTCAACGAATATATAATACTCGCGATTCTGCGGATGAGTTCTAGGCACGCGGTTACAATTACGTTAATTAAAATGATTTGCATCCTTCTTGGGAAGTAAAAACAAAGGACTGCGCATCGTTTTTTTGTGTCCGTACAAAGATAAAGATAATTATTTATAATTTACATACATTTCGTATTTACATTTCATGTAAATTTTCATAAATAAACATTTTTTTGTACCGTGATATAAAAATTTTATTTTGAATTAATTTAAGCTGCACTGAAAAAAATGCATGCAATTTTATATGGAAATTACATGTTTATAACTGGAAAATTACCTAAATATGATTGGAAATTTACTGAAAATCGCAAAATATAAACATATTTATAACGTTTATATAAATTGTAGATAATTACATACATATTAAAAAAAATTCATCTAAATTTATACGGAAATTACATGAATTTTTTTCAATATGTATGTAATTATTTACAATTTATATAAACGTTATAAATATGTTTATATTTTGCAATTGAAATATATATATATAATAATGAAGTATAAGTGATACATATGAGTACATATGTAATAAAAATTATTTTTTAATAATTTTGCATTATTTTGTAAATTTAAACTCTTCTTGTTTTGCAAACTAAATTTCTTTCCAATGTTTCAAATAACCAGATAGCTAAATTACTAATTATCAAGTCGCAACGTGTAATATTAATGAATTACAAAATACGAACGGGAATTACGAAGTACAGTCAGAATCCTGAATTTTCGCGTTACGTATATCCTGTTGGAAATATCTTAAAGATCAATCCAATGCAATCGTTGCAATAGAGTGCTATTAGAGAAAACTACCGTATTGGCATAAAGTGACTATTCTATATCAAAGACCATTGTGCATCCTGATGGTACCAGTATTAGATAATATACTATCTTGTAACTGGCTGGATTAGGTCGATGATTAGGCCTCAGTTGACTGCGGATAAATCTCATTCAAACATGCACTATTATTAGATAAGTTTCATGGATGAAGAGCAGCTTACCAGGAAACATTTTGTTGAACATTTGAATATTTCGATGTATGTAATTATTTTTTCCTTTAAAAAATTAATATGTTTTAAACGTTAATAAATATATAAATATGAAGAATTTTACAATAATCTCGTATTGAGTTGCTATTAATAATAATGTAATTATAAATTAAAAATTAATTTGTGATCGCCATTTATTTAAATAAATTTAAAAAAAATAGAATTAATCTCAACTCCTGCCAGTAGATATAAAGTTTCATTCTATTCCATAAAATGAGCGTGTTTACTTGATTGGATTGTCTAATTGTGAAATATCAAATAATTAATGATAATTGAAGATAACGTAATCTATAATACAATGTTTTCGAAATCTTTCAATAATTATTATCAAACTGTGTTTTTACGTATTACTAGAGATAAGTTATTTTAAGATAGTTGCTTTTTAATGAAAATAGACAATTTTGTGAATTTAATGCGGTTAAAATTGAATTATGAATAATTGTGGAATTTTTTTGTTCTCTAATTGTTTTTCTTATTTTGTACGCACAAGTGCTCTCTCGGAAAAAAATAATTGGTCTATTAAAATTATTATATAAATGTATTTTTTATCATTACAATGTAATTCTGCATATCGATACGAGTTTTTGCACTAAATAATAAAATGATATTTTTGCATTTCAGATAAAAAGCGTTGGACCAAAATTGGTACCATTCTTTAAAAGCGTATCCGTATATTTTGTATTACTTGCTGAACAGCCATCTCTATTAACGGCGTGTTTTAAATGTTTACCGATAATAAGTCTTATTATTTTTGTTCTGTTGCACGGAATTAGTTTATCTAAAGAGTAAGTAAAAAGTGCTTATATAGATTTAATGATGAGCTGGATGATTTTATTTCGTGGTAATCTTTTTGCTTCAGCGTTGCTAACGTAACACTCATCTCTTTGCAGATATGCCTTCTCCAGGCGTATATTGACGGGATTAGTGTTTAGTTGCATAGGTGACGCACTATTAGTGTGGCCTAATTGCTTCACTGCAGGGATGTGTATGTTTGCTATTGCGCAAATTATGTATATATTTGCATTTGGATTCAAACCCCTTAATTTAACACTCGGAGTAATACTGTATACGTCTTGTTCAATTGGTAAGATTTATAAACATGACTATTGCGAATGTGTGTTTTTAACCGATTAGATATTAATTTTCATTGATCGCTATCTATCATTAATTGATTAATGTACTGCTTTCAGTTATATGTGCTTTGATGCCGGGATTAAATGGGGTTTTAGCAATAGGAGTGCCAATTTATACAGTATTACTTACCACTATGGCATGGAGAGCCATATCAAGAGTACAGTTCTTCGGGGTAAATTTATGTAATAATATAGAAACTACAGAAACAATTAACTTTATACCTGTCATCTCTATTCTTTTAAATATGTGACACTTACTTCTCTGAGAATAAATTATCACTTGTCTAAAAACTTTGCCGCAAGTATTAGTTTTTATATATTATCAATGCAATATAGAGAATTAATCATATTTTATATAGGAATTGTGGACGTGGACTAAGTTATGCAGTTGCATTGGAAGTATTTGCTTTGTCATATCTGATACTTTGCTCGGATTTCATTATTTTCATAGTCCATTACCTTATTCTCAGGTATGTATATTAAGGCTTTTATTCATTGCGATTACTGAAAATCTATATATGTAATGTATATAATAAATTTTTTGTACACGGAATGAATAAAACATTTCAAAGCTATATTACTGAATAACGGAACACAGCCTTATATTCACATAGTGCTTCTGAAAAATAGCCTTGATGACGATATGATAATTTTATGAAAGGTATAATAATGTTCGATTTTTTTTTACTTCCCAGGTATCCATTATGTTGACATACTATGCAGCACAATTAGGTATAGCATTAAGTGCAGTAGATTCTAAAAACAATAGTAATAACAGAGTACCTGCCAGTAAAGGCTGAAATATTTATCCTTTATCTGGATAAATTTATCTGCAGATGTAAGGAATGTTTCTCAACGTCTGCTTTAAACTATGTGCATAATTCCAGTAGGAAATTGTTGTGATAACGTCTTTGACATGTTGAATATTTCAAAGTCATATTATTGAATAAGGAGACTCGGACGAGTTTCAGTGATAGGATGTTGTACCTTTTGACTGTAGAAATAGTCTTATATTTCTTTTTTGTATTATTAATGATATGCAAAGAAATCTTATAGAGATTTCGTACTAGCCACATTTGTGGTTCTATTTTTTGTATATGTATAAAAAAGAATTAAAAAATATTATACTGTTAAGTATAAATATAATAGAAGAATAGAATATTAGTATTTTTTTTAAATTTCTTTG